CATCATTAATTTTACTCTCTACGTAAATTAAGGTTTTATAACTCTCAATCCTCTTAGTCTAATAAAGAATAAACATTGACGACACTCTGAATAACTAAAGGACTAGATTAATAACAACATTATTTTAATAATTGAGATAATGACGCTTTTTTTTCCTTCAAAGAATGCAAATATCGATTTACTTTGTAATATCTATTGTGGGTTTTTTATGAAACTTTTTATCAAGAGATAGACATATATTTCTTCTAAAAATACAAGTGCCTTTGAGTTGTTAAAAAATAACGGATAATACAACACACACACAAAATTGTTTGATTTTTCAAATATTATATTTATCTGTTTAGCCTCACTTATATTTCAATTTATATTTTTAATGAAGAAAAATAAGAAAATGAGTTTCATTTCATAAGCACATGCACATCTAGCTTGTGACCTCTTCCCTTCCTCACCACCTTCGCCAAGCTTCTCCTCCACGCTCCACCCTCTTATCGGTCAATTTCTTCGCAGCTCTTTCTCATCCTCCACTGATTTCAACAAACTCCAATTCATCTTAAAATTCCCAAATCCCATTGTCTTCTACACCTAATTTGATTCATCTATTGCTTAAAAAAACTCCAACCCAAAATCTGTGTGATAATAACATGTCTTCCATGAAAAATTTCGTATAATGAACTTTACTAGGGAAATGCAATAGTGTTGTTATTTGAATAATCAAGATTTGAGGGGGAAATAACCCTCAACATCATACACTGCAATTATTTCTCCCTTTGTTATGTTCGACTTCTTCCCGACATTATTATTCTTCACATTTTTGTTATTCACTAAATAAGATACAAAATCTTGCAGCAACATTAAAAAAAAGAAGAAAAAAAGAGACAAATATAACCCATACTCTTTCGTTATCTCGAAATTATTGCACTCAAAACAATGCACAACGGAAAAAGTATTATAATAATTTAGTTAATATCAGAAAAAAAAAGTTGTCATCAAATAGCTAACTAACACAAAAAAACTATCATATAACTCACTTTTATTGTAATGTTATGTTTAATATGCATCAAACACAACAAAAATACTCCTTTGTATTTGAAGTTTAATTTTAGAAAATACAATTTTATTATAAATTTTGAACCCTCGTAGCTTAGATAAAGTCAATGAACAAGAAAAGGCTCTCTTGTTGTGAGGGTGTTTCAACTAAGTTCTGGGTTATCATGCCATAGCCGCTTATTACCTTTTCATCTGATATAGGAATCTTGAAATTGAATCTTAAAATTTCTTCTTTTTCTTTTTCGAATGCTCATTTACTTGGGAATTTATGCTATGATTTTTACAGCTAAGGGAAAGAAACAACAGTAGGATAGGAAGGAAACAATAGCATATGGAACTAATTAGGTCTTTATTCCCTGTGTGTGCTTTTCCCTTTACTCTTTTTTTGTCTTGACAACTGGGGTATGATTTGATGCTTCTAAGTGAAGCTGCAGTGGGATGTGTTAAGAAATATAGTTGTATGAGCAACTAATGTGAGGTTTATAAGGCTTTAGGCACTCTCACTCTTTGAGCTAGTTTTTGGGATGATGACCTCAAGGTTCTTAACATAGTATCAGAGCGTTCGAAATCTCACCGCCTCCTATCTTCTTTGTTGTGGAATTTCCACATGTAGGTATGGACAACTAATGTGAAGTTTATATGAGATGACTACTACTTGGTTTGTTAGGTGTTTCAAATTTTGGGAGAGCAATGAATATGATGTTTTCGTGAGTATAAGATTAGCAGAACCTTCGTTTTAGAATATTATTTTTGACGCCAACCCCATTGTTGGAAACCAATGCACGGAAGAAAATGTAAAACAAACATAAAAAATAAAATAAAATTACATAGACACGATTTATCATAATTATTCGAATTATTATTTGATACTACAAGTTTATGTGATTTAAAAATATTTGTTTCCAAAAGAATATCTCTGAAACATGTTAAATAATGATTTGATTGTTTAAAAATTACTAAACATGCCAACATGTAGGGTGATTTTCTCATTTTAGATGAGATTCATTCCATTTATGTAAGTATTCAGATTCTGAGTTTGATAGAATTTCCGTTTTAAATTAAAAAAATGTAAGTATTAAGACAATTTTATTTTTATTTTTTTATGGTGGGTTGTTGAGCGCACATTACACAGGAGTTCTTCAAAATGGGCCAAGATCTTTTAGCAGTTAAATACTAATCTATATTATATAAAGGGCATCCCGCCTTTTAGTATCCAAATTTATGTTTTTAAAATACCATTATAAGGTTGGGCTTGTCACCTCTTATGTGTCTTTCTTACGTCACAGACTTAACCAATGGTGGAGTTCACCAATTGTTTAAAAAAAAAAAATGATTGGCAAGGGAACAATGGCTATGTGGAAAAAAATTCATTCACTTGTCGCATGAGAGCCTTATTTTCCTATAATGTTACTATTATTTTAATGAAAGTAAGTATTTAAAAATAATAAAATTATATATATTTTTATTATAATTATCTTCAATTTCTTATTCTATATGAATTGAGAGGCACATAATGCGCATTAAAAAGCTATTCTTACAAATTTTAAAAAGTCACAAAAAGATCAAAATATTATCTACTGACTTGTATGACAGGGTATAAAATAATTATTTTATTGAAATAAATTTAACCTAAAAACTTAAATTAAACAATAAAGTAAATATTATCCGATGACTTGTACGACAGGCAGTGGCGTAGCCCATTATATTTTGGTAGGGCCTGCGCTCTGATTATATTTCAATAAATTTTATTTAATATATATAATTATGAATTTGATATTTGTCATTTTAAATGAAATAAGTTATGTTATTTTAGAAGAGAGATAGACACAAAAAATAGAAATCATTGGAAGAAAGCGGGTGATTTTTTAATTTAAATTTTAAATAAAAAATATTCTTTTGTGTCTATTTCTCTCTTAAAATGACATAACTTTATGTCATTTAAAATGTCAAACAATTTTTCCTATAATTATATAGGTAATTATAATTGGGCCCAAGATCAAAATTGTAAGTTGGCCCTAGTTAAAATTGTAACAATGGTAACAGACGAAAATTTGGAGATGATTTGCATGTATGACCATTAACAAGTTGCTTTCTTCTTAATTTCTTTTTCTTCTTTCATCTTTTTTCAATTAGGGTTTTCTTCTAACCTTTTTTTTCTTAATCGCACTCACCACCCGGAACTTAGCCATTATGCGACAAGGAACAATGTTTTGTTCCTTTCTCAAGATTTTAGGAATACATGTTCTTGGAATATGCATTGGTAATTATATTGTCCGAAAAAATTGATTTATATTTTTGAACCTTGTAAAAGAGAAATTCTTTGTATTTGCTGACCATAACTTTTTATTGGATGTTTTTAACATGAGTGAAATTCATGCCTTTTTCTTTTTATTTACAACTTTTTTTGTGTGGTTGTATTTATTGATTTTATTTCTTTTGAAAAATGGAATGTTGTTTTACATTTACCTTTTTTTAAAAAAATTATTTTAATGTAGTTACAGTTGCTCTTGGTAATGGAATTGAATTATTTCTTGGTATTATTTGTATTTGATTTCACAACAGGATTGGGACTTTTGGCGATTGATCAGTGAAAACTGTTAAAGAAAAAAATCAATGAAGATATAGGTATATATATGAAGTATGAAAATTTCTTGTACATATTAATTAACAACTTCCACCGACCCTAATTAATTTGGGATAAAGGTGTTGTTGATGATTAATTAACAACTTCTTTGTTTTTTTATATTTTTAAAATATCTAAACACTTATTAAATGATTTATGTGGATCCAATGTCATTTAAATGATTTTAGACATTTGTTGCTGATTGTTCCATGTTTCTTTTTAATTGTGAAGTTTGTTGTCCCTCTACGTTGATGTTCTTCACAGGTCACGACTAGGGGTATAAATGGGCCAAGTTAGGCCAGACTTTGGCTTTGATAGCCTAAGCCAATGTAAAATTTTTAGAGCCTATATTAGTCTATTAGACTATTAAAGACTTGATTTATAGATCTGCTTTGACCTATTATAAAAAATTTAATACAACCTGTAAGGCCTACCAAGTTGCAAACTAAAGTATATAGGTCCAAACCAAATTAAAATATAAAAGATAAAAAAAATTATTCACAAAGATCATATGAAATAAATTTTCATTAACATCACATGAAATAATGTTAATAAAGATCACATGAAAATGTTCATGAAAATTTCATATATGTGTATATACATATAATTTGCACTTTCTTTACTAATTTAATTTTATATATATTTTAAATTTTAAATAAATATTTATTATTTGTTAAAATAACATCAATCCTATTACTTTAAAAATGTTAAGTAAATTTTTTTCCTAATAGATTTGTATAATTACAAAAATATTTTGATAAATTGATATATCAAAATTTTTGTCCCGAGTGTTTGGTACTGAAATTTTCAACACCACTAATCATATTAGACACATAGCACTCTTAGCCTCCAAGAAATAATAAAGCTCTAGTACAAAACTATATTATAAAAATAAGAGTAAATATCCATCTTAATCACTTAAAAATACATTTGAAATTAATTGTCTTCTAAATATATTTGACAAAAATAACATTAAAACATTTTAAATATGAACCACCTTTCACCTTTCAATATACAGAATGTGACGATACTATTTGTAAAGCCTTTGACTGAGATTTAAATTAATATCTTTATAGATTAAATAACGGATAAAATTAATATCACCGTCTTTCAAAACCTAAATTATTGAAGACCCAATGAATATTTATTTTTCAAAATAAAATTAAAAAGGAAATAATTCTGTTGCCTTATTTTTTTTCTTCAATAATGATTAGTTTATGAAATTTCTCTTTTACATAAGACCATTGTTAAGGCATCAGAATGTGCTGGATAACATCACCAAAGTAAATTATTAGCACTAAATTATTAGTTAAATCTTCAGCCACAGCTGAGCATAGAATACATGTAAATCAAACAACAATAAAGATAATCATGATCACATTATTCTTATTTCTCACTATGATAATTGTGGTAGGTTGAATTCTAAACATACAAGAAAATAAGCAAACTACAAAAATTGCGTTGCTTGAATTGAAGTTTCCTGCAGCTTAAACTACAGTTGCAAACGGATACTAAATTAACTGAAACTCTTCCAGAATGACCCAAAAAATAAAAAAACTCTATGGGAGATAAGTCTTAAACCGCGTGATCAAGGCAAGTGAAATTTGTACTGTGCTAAGTGTTTTTTTTTTCCTGCAATTTTGTTCATAAGGTCTCCAATATATCATAATGACCATACCCATGAAACAGGACATCGATGGAAATATCCTTATCTTTCCTATATTCTTCACCATATTTTGCTATGTTTAGCAAATCAACAGAGTTTGTGTCTCTCATGAAGACAGATATAGGTGTCCTGGCAAGTTACGAAGATAGATTGTTAGACACAAAGCAACAACAAAACTGAACAAAAATTAATTAGAGTTAGCAATACATTGATGAGTTTCATATCGTCCCTACAAGTAAAAACATACAATTATTTTCACATAAACTGAACTAAAAATTTGTTTCTCCAAAACAATCAGGCGCTATATTGTGATCAATGTCCAGAGTCTACTGCTAATGTATTTCTATATCCATTGATTCTACATCTTTTCCAGCTCTGTTACTATGTAGCACATGTTCTAAAGGAATAAAACTTCAGTGCTACCATCACATGCTATCATGACGGTAGTACTAAATTTTGTTTCGTTCTAAAGATTAATGACAATAAGTTATATCTTTAGGTGCATGATACGGTTCTAAACGCTGGCTTTGTCTTTGCTTACTTGTACGCAACAAGTCTTGTCATATGGGCAACAACACTGCCAAATAAATTGCTTTCTTTCCCTCTTCTTTTCTTAAGTGGTATATATATTGTAAGCCTTACTTCTTAGACGTTGTTATGGTGGGAAACAGTTCTAGAGTATTAAACTAGCAATTTATATATACCGATGAACGTCCCTATCAAATGTAAGTGAAAACTATAAAGTAACCAGAAGTAAGCCATGAAGAAATTAAATTTTAAAACTCACTTCAAAACATGAGAAGCCATCAACAGCTCAGGTTCCCCGCCCCAAACATAAGGCTCTTGAATTCTCTTCACATACGCATCAAAATCTCCTTCTATATACCTATACACACATCATAGATAAAAGTCAAGACTATAAGCCAACATAATTTCATATCTTATAATTACAAAGCTTACCATTCAGTTTCATCACGCCTTTTCAGCAGCTCATCTACAACCTATATAACACAATATCATAATGGAGTTACAAAGATCACTACAAAAAAAAGAAATTAGAAAAGCAGATGGAGCCCTTTTTTAATCAGCTTTGGCAGAATGATCTTACTCGAGCTCTTAATTCATCAGCCAGTTCCCTTTGACGATTCTCATCAGGTGCTTCTTCCCCATTTCTTAAGCAAGCTCCATGAGCTATTGCTCTAAACAAACATCGACCATCAGCAGGCACCCCTATACCATTCATTCAGTGAGGTAATTAACAACTGAATCCACAGAACTCACTCAATCTCTATGTCTCGAGTTTATAGTCTATAGGCCTAAATAGACCATCACTGTCAATCAACAATTTATAGGCCAAAAATAACTCAAAGAAGAAAACCGAACAATAACAAAATAAAAAGTAATTCTTTTAGAATTTAGTCTCTACAAATTATTCACAAACAAAAAAGCTCTTCATTTTACTCTAAATCACTTTTTTAACCAAAAAAATAAAATAAACGCCAGTTGTTTGGAGGTTATCGAGTAACTCTCAGACTCTGTTAAAAGTACATAAAGATAAATCCTTCATTAAAGACAAAAATGTAATTTTATTTTTTATAAAGTGATCATCATTGTAAAAAGTGCTTTTTATCAAAGTAAAAGCAAAACGATCTTTCATTCCTCCAAAAATCACACATCCAATCAAACACTTTAAAATTTTCCAATCCTACACAAAAAATAATAAAAATAGAGGAAAAATTGTGTATCATTTTCAAAGGAGGTAAAGTTGTATCACTGTGAGATAAACATATAGTTAAAGAAGGAGAGAGTGTCGATAAAAAATATAAAGGTGTAGGTCTCGTCTCTTTGGGAGGATGAAAGGATATAAATTCTGTCATTTAAATAATTTTCCCAAAAATAAATTCAACCGTTTTTTAATAAATAAATAATAAGAAAAAGAACGAACCAGTGACTCTGTAATCAGATGAGACCTCATCATCAACAACCATCAATTCACGTCCATCAGAATTTTCCTCCGGAACCGCCGGAGGTGCTGCCGGCACCGCCTCTGGATCGGCCTCGGCGCAAACTGGCGGCGAAAGGCAGGCGCAGACGCCGAATAGGAGCCAGGCCGAGTCAGGACGGTGGAGCCACCTTGCAGGACGCGCGTCCCACGCGACGTTCCACGATCCCTCCCCCTTCAGCTCGTGGTCATGGTGGACAGTCACGACGCCGCCGCCGCGCTGCAATCCGTCGCCGCCGCAAGGCAATATAGCATGCCATATTGATGCGGCGGCGGCACCGGAGCCACCGCCGCCGCGAAGCTTACACGCACTGGAATGAATGCGGCCGCGCGTGAAGCTGTCGGGTCCAAAATGAGAGAAAGACGGCGACAAGTCGGAGGCGAAGCCGTGGGCAAGGCGAGCGGCGTGATGCGCCGGCGAACCGTGGAGGAAGGAGAAGATCCAAGGCTTGGGGCGAGTGGCGCAAAGTATACCAAGCATGGATGAGTGGTGAAGGCTATCGTGCGCTTCTTCGCTTATCCTACGCACCCATGCCCCCTTTTTTTTGTTGAGGTTTGCATGAGAGAATAAGAAGACCCGTGATTTCTTTTCTTTTTTTTCCTTTTCTTTGTGTGGAAACAACTAAATTCTTCAACAAACACACTTTGGAATAAACAATTTAAAGAAACAAAGCGTTGCTCTTATAGAGAAACAGACAGACGCGACGGTCTGAGACTCCCACACTTCGTTGTTGCAACAAATCTTGTGAATCCATTCTTCCTCAAATTTGATATCCAACTTAATGTTTTTCTTTTTTTATATATTTAATGAGAGGGGTTATAGTTATTACCTTTTTTTTTCTTATTACTTGTTACTACCAGATCTTAACCGTTGATTTCCGTCAATCTAACGGTTATAATTTATTAGAATTAATAATTAATTAATAAGTGTGACCCAACAAATTATAACCGTTACATTGACGGAAATCAACAGTTAAGATCTGGTAGTAACAAGTAGTAAGAAAAAAAAGGTATTAACTATAACCTTTTCCATATATAATAACGAGATAAGTGTTTGTGATTTCAAATGACACAAAATTATATTATTTTGATGTGTTTTGTTATTTTTTTTTTTTATAAAATTAAAAAGAAAAATAATGAAGAAGAAAAAAAATATAAAAATACACCAAAATTATATAATTTTGTGTGATTTAAATGATTAATACTTTTTCCATTAATAATTTTCTATACATTTTAAAATTTGTATCCTCGTCGAGAATAAGAATATTCCGTAATGTCCGGTGAAATATTAGATCATATGACTTCCCAAAATCGTACCAACATTAAATATATAAATATGTTTATATATGCAGAGATATATAATTTGAAAAATTAATAATCAATCGATTCAACCAAATAAAGTGGTTAATTGCCAACTGGGTATAGTTTTAACAATAGTATAATTGCCAATTCCGTATTTAATGTTTGCTAAATAAGTTTATTACTCGTGTTGTTGAATGATATAATGTTATGTCATGTTACTCTGGTATTAGATCGTCTTAAGAGTTTTGGGAAATTAATGAAACATAATTTTCAAATTATACAACACTACATGTTTTTAAGTGAATTTTTTTTAAACAGTAATTTTTTAATTGAAATATTATTGTTTTACTTAAAAGGTTATAATATTGTGTTATTTAAAATGATAAATATTTTTATTAGAAAAAAATTATTGCTTTTAATGGTGTCCAAGCAAAATGTTAATCTTTAATAGGAAAAAAATATTAAAATTATACAACACTACGTGCTTTTAAGTGAATTTTTTTTAAACGGTAATTTTTTTAATTGAAATGTTATTGTTTTACTTAAAAGGTTATAATGTTGTGTTATTTAAAATGGAAATTTTTTTTCTTAATTAAATATTTAAAACATTGAATGTGATAGAACCATTTGGCCTAGAATGGGAAATTTCAATCATTACAATTAATAAAGATTTTAATTTATTATAATGGAACTTTCCATGTATTAATGATGGCTTATTACGGGAATATTAATTAGCTTATTTGTCTAAATTAATTGAATATTGACAATAAAGGAAATGAAAAATACGGAAAATAAAGCATATTCCTACTTTTGTGCATGTGTATGGTTCATCTTTATTCTTCATCAATGTTTTGTGTGTCCATCTTTGGTCCACGAAACACCTATGTGGAAGATTTTGGACAACTATTTTTTGTAATGCTTTGAAAGGAAGAGAATAAATCAAATGTGGAGTTTCAACAACGCAAAAGTATTTACCTGGACTCCGTGTTTGAAGACTTTTTGGAAAAATAGTGATTCAGAGTTGGTTTAATAGAAAAATAATAACAATAGAATTTAAAAAGAGTTGAAAAAAAGAAAAAGAAAAAAGAAGAGGAGAAGAAGCGAAATGGAGAGGTGCAGAGAATTGGAAATGATTTGATTCGGTTAGTTTAATCTCCTATTTATAATTGAAGCTTTTCTTTTCAAGTTGAGCTCATAATATGAGCTTGACAAATCTGTATCTATTGTATTTATTAGATAGGATATTGTTAATTCATTTTTATTTATTAAATAAGATATTGTTGATTCATTCTTATATTTTGTATTTAGTATTATGATACACATAAGAATATATATTATTATTATTATTTTTATTATTTTATTATTTTATTATATTGTTATTAATTTTATTATTACTATTTTTCTTGGGGTATTATAGTTTTAATTATTTATATATTTTTTAAATTTTATTTTTATTATTTTTCTCAATCATTTCATACTTTCATTTGGGTTCATTTGCTAATGATTCTAATTTATTTGGGATAAAAACATTGTTGATGTTAATATTAATTTGAGAGGTAACCTATTCGAATGAATTTGGTCCTTAAAGCATGTGATATTACTTTGATTATAAAGCATGTTTGCTAAAGATCCATTCTGGCTCACGTAATGTTTACATATTGGAGCCTCGCTTCTTAGGGTCAGTTATGGGCCCATTCCATAGTCTCATATCTTAACATAACAACTTGTGATAGACTAAAGGGATAAGGATAATCCCAAGAGATAAAGGATGAAACAACTTATCTTATCCCCAACAATCATAATCCTATCAAGACTCTACACCTACAAGTAACCCTTTCTATAAATAAAAGGTTAAGCCTCTCAAGTACACGCTCTGAATTTCCTACTCTCTTGCCCATCATTGTGCACACATCACGTCTTGGCTATACACATATTATTAGTGTGTAGTGATTGGTACATTGGCTATATGCTCGTACAATATCTCTTTCATAAATATCTCTGAGCACATACGTTTATCACCTAAGTGGTGAATATTAACGGTTTACCCGAACCGAACATTGGCACCGTCTGTGGGGACTCGGCAAATTTCGATTCTCATCTATGGTGAACAAGCGCAACATAGCGCGGTGCCACAAATTGTAGGCTGCCTCACATGCCCTAAAATTTCTGAAACCACATATATTTGAGGAGACAAACCCTCTCGCATGAAAGACTTTTGATCCTCCAAGAGACTCTAGAATGGAGCTCCAGATCTAAGCAGGTGATGATTTGACATAGATTCTCGTCATTGCAATCCTTAATAGAGCAAGCGAAGACCTTAAGGTCAATAAATCATAAAGAAAGAGGTACATAGAAATTTTGAATTCTTTATTAAAGGAAGTATCATTACAAATTTTGTGGGTTAGGATACTGGCAGACAATTAATAACCCAGTTTTAGTCCAAAAGAGATGCTCACCATGGGACCCATAAAAAAGAATGCAAACCCTTAGCACCATTGAAGGAAAAATCTTCCAAAAAGCAATGCTTCCTGTGGATGGCTTTATCAATTCGTTCGTGATCACATCTTTAGTGTAAGAAAGTTAACAGCTTGGCCTCAGCCTTCCAAAAAGCAATGCTTCCTATGGATGGCTTTATGAATTTGTTCGTGATCACATCTTTAGTGTAAGAAAGTTAACAGCTCGGCCTCAGCCTTCAGCATCAACTCAGCCCAGCCAACGGCTTCAAGTTTAGCGACTCGACCACGACCTTAAGCTTCAACTTAGCCCCCCGAAGGGTTTCAAGTTTATTAGCTCAGCCTTGAGCTTCAACTCAGCCCGTCCAAGGGATCCAAGTTTATTAGCCCGGTTTCAGCCTTGAGCTTCAACTCAGCCCAGTCAAGGGCTTCAAGATTATTAGCCCAGCTAAGGGCTTAATGATTCTTAGCTCGGCCTCAGCCTTGAGCTTAAACTCAGCTCAGCTAAGGGCTTCATGATTATTAGCTGGCCTCGACCTTGAGCATCAACTCAGCCCAGCCAAGGGCTTAAGATTATCAGCCCGGCCAAGGGCTCCAAGTTTATTAGCCCGGCCTCGGCCTTGAGTTTCAACTCAGCCCAGCTAAGGGCTTTATGATAATTAGCTCGGCTTCAATCTTGAGCTTAACTTAGCTCACCTCAGCCAAGGACATCAAGTTTAACAGCCCGGCCAAGGGCTTCATGATTATTATCTCGGCCTCAACCTTGAGCTTCAACTTAGCCCAGCTAAAGGCTTCAGAATTATTAGCTCAGCCACAACCTTGAGCTTCAATTTAGCCCAGCCAAGGGATTCAAGATTATCAGCCCAACTAAAAGCTTCATGATTATTAGCTCGGACTCAACCTTGAGCTTCAACTCTTCCCAGCTAAGGACTTTATGATTATTAGCTTGCCCTCAGCCTTGAGTTTTAACTTAGCCCAGCCAAGGGCTTCAAGATTATCAGCCCAGCTAAGGGCTTCATGATTATTAGCTCGGCCTCAGCCGAGATCATATAATGAAGCCACCGTAAAAAAAAAGCGGGGCTTAGACATCGAAGCATCACGAGGAAAGAAACTAAGTCTAATAATAAAGGCCACGACGAACGAAGTTGAGCTCTGATATATTGCGAGAAAAGTGAGGCTCAAATAAAAAGTCACGAAAAATGAAGCTGGACTCAAAATGGAAAAAGGCAAGAGCATTGGTATATGAAGTAGGGTTCAAATAAAGTCACAATAATCCAAGCCAGGCTATTTCAAAATAAGCCGACCACAAGTAATAAAGTCACTACGAAAGAAGTAGGGTTCAAATAAAAAAGGCGAACATCCTTTCCCCGGGTTAAACGACTCTGATCAAGTCACAATAAATAAAGCCACAACAATCCAAGCCAGGCTATAATCAATAAGACAAGCAAAAAGTCAAGTCAATAATTCTGAAGTGGTGGTGATCCAACCCGACCTATGATCAATAAGACAAAATGACTCAATCCGGGTCAATTCCAATAAAACCATGGAAAAGAAACCGACTTTAAACGAAAAGAGGCAGAGAGCTGTCCCAATAAACTTATGTCTGACAAAGAAGTCTAAATTTCGAAAGCTACGACATGCGAAGTCGGGCTAAGAAAAGAAGCCTCCATCAACTTAAGTTTCCGCCAAAGAAGTCGAGCTTAAGCAACTCTAACAAAAAGAATGACAAGACACATAATAAAAGTATGATAAAAGTTGAAATTAAAATGGCCATGTCAAAAAAAATAAAGGTCGAGAACAAACTCTACAGTGTACTTCACAACACAAAAAGAGGATCAAGCCCCCAGAGAAGGAAGGCATGCAGAACGACACAAGAACGCCAAGCATATGTCAATTAAGGATGGACCTATATGTGTCTAAGGTGCAAGAAAAATATTACAGCCCAACAGCATGAACGCTCAAACTACTGAACTGGGGGCAACTGTTATGGATTCCATAGGCCTATATCTTAACAACATAATAACTTGTGATAGACTAAAGAGATAAAGATAATCCCAAGGGATAAAGGATGAAATAACTTATCTTATCCCCTAACAATCACAATCCTATCAGAACTCTACACCTACAGGTAACTTCTTCTATAAATAAAGGGTCAAGCCTCTTAGGTACACATTCTGAATTCTAGACTCTCTTGCCTATCATTGTGCACACACCTCACACCTTAGTTATGTGCCTATTATTAGTGTGCAGTGATTGGTACATTGACTATATGCCCATACGATATCTCTCTCATAGATATCCCTGAGCACATATATTTGTCACCTAAGCATGTGAATATCCATGGTCTATCCGGACCGAACATGGTATTTTTCTCTTATCCCTAATTTTAACCCTTGTAACTTATTCTTTGTAAATAAGGCTACTTGTTGTGTTGAGATATATAGTCCCACATTGATTGTATGGGCAACTAATGTGGAGTTTATAAGGCCTTGAGCACTCCCACCCTTAGAGCTAACTTTTGGGGTGGTGTATCCCAAGGTTCTTAACATGGTATCAGAGCTTGAGCTCTCACCGCCTCTCACTTTAAAGTGGAATTAAAAATAAAAAGCACAAAAAGGTAAACCAAAAATTGAAATTGGGCCTTTGCATAATCCACGCTTCAAGCCCAGTGGGCTCTCGTGTGAGGGGGCGTGTTGAGATATATAGTCCCACATTGATTGTATGAGCAACTAATGTGGAGTTTATAAGGCCTTGAGCACTCTCACTCTTAGCTTTTGGGGTGGTGAATCCCAAGGTTCTTAACATGCCGCATTGGAGCCACGACATCATATAATATAAGGACAAGCATGGAGAGGACAACTTTATATTATGTATTGTATTTGCCCTTCACTATTTTCTTGAGAATTTTGTTAGCTTGCCAAATTGTCTTATATCGCTGCCTCTTGATCCAATCTAGTGAATTTGTCCACTAACGATGTGTGTTTTTTTTAATGACTAATATAGTATTGAAAAGTTTGATAATCACAAAATATAAGTAGGACAGACATTGCATAAGTTGCTTGCACGACTCTAGGATTAGCCACTTCATGCCCTATTGGGACAAGTAACATGTCAAAAGCAAATGCAACAAGATAGCACTGTCATTATTCACAAACTTATAAATGACAAGTAAGTAACCAACCAATTTTGTTGTTGTAAGAAAAGTGAAAGGCATTGACGTTAGTGAAAAGCCAACAGACAAGTAAGAAAAATGGTCAGCTACATATGGGACAACATGGACTTAGTAGAAAGGGAGGGTTAAACAAGCCAACAGGCAACTAAGAAAACTAGTCAAGCCAAATTTGGAAGAAAAGGGACTCAGAAGAAGAGACTAAAAAAAAATGTACACTTCTTCAAATTTTGAAATCCTACATATTTATTCATTCTAGCTTAAAATTAAGCAATCTTACACATAACTTCTTTTATTTATAAGACGGCTAGGAGATATAACTTAGTTGGCATTTTGACTGACCTGCCGATAACGTTGGACAAATTTATTAAGTAATATTTAAATTTAATCCAACAGTTAATTTGTATGGTTATATATAGTCCACGTATTATGCTTTTATTCGATGAGTATAATACTCTCAATTCTCAAAATAAATGAGAATTTCTCCTAGCAATATGACAGTTCAAATTTCACTAAAAAAACCTTGCGGCCAAGGTCACGTCATCAAATACTTGAATATAAATCTAATAATAATAATTCAGTTGACATTGAAAAACTGAACAAGTGAGATAAAAATATGTGTTCAATCTCTTTCAGTATTATTTACGGGAGAGATTTTAAGTCTTAATTTCAAAATTCGTCCTAAATTGGACTAGTCGCGAAGCTACGAACCAATTGTAATATCTCAAAAAATAAAATAAAAAAATACTTGATTAAAAATTAGTTTGGAACTAAAAAAAATGGAAGAATACCCAGGGAACAAAAAACTACGCTTAAATATTTTTTTTTTCCAAAAAAAAAAAAAAATACAGCATAAGGGAGAGAGGGCAACGACTCCCTTGATTATATATATATATATATATATATATATATATATATATATATATATATATATATATATAAACACCGTCATGTATTAATTCTTTTATAAAACGATTTTAATCCCCTTCAAAAACATTTGTTTTTTTTTTAATTTCACAACCGGGAGGTTTATTGTTATGCATTTTAAATTTGAAATTACTGATTAAATTAAAACAATCGTATTATTTGATCTACGTGATTGATGATATTTTCTTTTCTTTAATGTGTGTTTGTGTTAGACTTTTCAAAAATATGCACCATCACCTTTTCTTGATAAAGAAAAACTTTAATTCTCTTATGAATTGATTTAGATGTATAAATTAAGGAGCAAAAAATTCTGTACTATTATTTTGCATAATCTGAATCATTAATGAAATACTCTTTTTAGCTAATTACACATTTAAAATAATTTTTATTACACTATTTAAACACCATAAATCACTTCATTATAAATCTTCTTTTAAGTGAAATAATTTATATAAAGTTTTATTAATCCATTCATATATAAATAGAGATATCAAAACGAGTCGATAAGGTAGAATACACATTAATATTTGTGTCAGAATTTTCAACACGAATACAACATGAATTTTTTGCAATTTAATACGATACGAATAATATACAAATTATGAGTCCAAATAATAATTGACCAAAAATAAAAAAAATAAAGATTGAATTCATATTAAGTATTAACTAACGAACACAATATTTTTATTTTTTTTGGAGGAATATTCATGTTGTGGCGCGTTGATCCTATCATAACTTGTTTAACACCTGTGGATATAAAAACTTACAGGTCTTGTCACTTGTGTTAGGTGAGATTGAAGAAGCTCGCCGTTTTTACAAAATAAAGAAAAAGAAAAGAAAAGAAGCTCGCCGTTTCCGAGGATGAGTCCAATGTCTCCATTTCTTTCGTTGAATTGATTCAATTGAACGCATTCATTGGAAGTCTCGCCCTGGACAGCGAAAAATTAATCTCTGCTGACCAAGGAAAATGTTTTCAGGATTTTATAAAGACCCAATCATATCATTTCATAAAGTTGAAAAAAACAACTCATCTAATTACATTATTACATCCATTCTTCTGGACTCTGGTTAATTTTACAAGAATTCCACTTATTTTTATTTTTAATAAAGTTATAATTTATTAAAAATTAATAATTAATTAATAAATATAACTTAATAAATTATAATTATTAAATTGATAAAAATCAATAATTAAAATTTAATTGTAAGAGATTATAAACGAAATGAGATTATAAATATAACTTCCCTCAAATATTAAATTGCCAAAAAAAGTCTTTCATAAATTACCAAAAAGAATAATACAAAAACGAAAATACATAAACTACCACTTATCTTTATGAATTAAATTCATTGAATTGATTCAAAAAAAAAAAAAAAAAAAAGTCCATTGGATTAAATGCATTCATCCGAAGTATCGCCCTTCCGTTAACAAAAAAAATTAAATAAGATTATATCACTTATTAAAGTTGGCAAAAAAATATTACTTGTATTTATTCTACTCATTTTTTATGTTAATTTCACATGAGTTTCACTTATTCCTATTATTAATAAAAAAATACCTACCATGAAAGTACTAAAGTTTCACTTCTAAGTAGGGGTTTTAGCAATATTTTTATAAAACAAAATAATTTTAAATATTTTAAGACTACTTTCTATCATTTTTTCTAAATCACCATATGATTAAAGATTCAATTGCCAAAAAAAAAAAAAAAAATTCATAAATTTGACCCATATATCGCATTGATGTTAAGCTGTATTTAACGTTAGGTTATACTTTTATCAAAATGAATAATACCAAAAAAAAAAAAAAAAAGCCATAAACTATCACTTATCTTTTGAATTTAGTTCAATTAATGCAGATCTTAAAATACAAAGTTACGTTGTAATCAGAACCTTTTTTAAAAAATAAAATAAAATAAAAATTTACAGAAGATAATTTGATTGAATTTATGCAACCACTATAGACACAGACCAAAAATTATAACCACGTAGTACAGGAGCCAAGAACTATAACTGCTCTCAACTCTGACATTATCAAGAACCCATTTCAGCTTCCTTGAACCAAATGACAGGCGAACATTAACCTTCCATCAAAACTATTTTCGCTCTTCAATCTGTCGCTAAGTTCCCTCTGCCTTACATTTTGGGCATTTATCACAGTTCACAACCGTTTCCAAGCCAAATGATGAAACGGTGTTAACAAGGGCAATCAACATAAAGAATCCTCATCTCGGAGTTTATTGCTCCATTTGCTTCAGATATTTTGAATATTTGGAGCTGCCATATATGATTCTAATGTTTCTCTAATTAGAATTGAGCACATGTATGACAGGTAGAGGGTTGGGATGGTTTTATGAGATACCACACTATGATAACGAGACTTTGCAAAAGAGCGACTGGGGTGCCCTTTCAATCACTGGGTCATCACGAATCTGATCTCGGAGCTGTAAAAGATGAAAGAAGACCAGCTGCCTGAGCAGGCAGAATATCTCCAAATGTGGACATTGATCTATCCTTAAAAATGCCAACTTGTCCATCAGTTAGCATGGACCCCAGTTTAAAAGTACTCTCCCCAAACCTGCTTCCAACCTAGAAGAAAAACAAAAAATATTATCAAGTACCTACAAAACTGTACCAATGAAATGTTTTGTATGAAAATTAATTATTAAAACCAATCAAGTCAAACAAAAATTCCAGAATTTAAAAGATGAAAAGCAACTTCAATGTAATTGCAAACCACTAATGACTCGTATGGCAGTTTGTAGGTGGTTTTCCATATCTTTAGTATTTTTATTATTTCTACATCATATTCACTTTAGTTAGTACCAAATTATGTTACCGCAAATAGGTGCTAGTAGGGTGGTGTATAATTGAATGTATAACCTCTTCTAGGCTAGAGTAGCGGAAGATACAAGTACCAGGAAATAAAATTTTATGCGGTGTAGGAATTTGAAACAACTCAACATTTGTTCTTTTGAATACTGCAGTTGTGCATTCCAAATAAAATAACCGATGAATTCTTTAGAGTTTGAGCAATGCTGGACTTATAATATTCATTTGGCGTATGGATTGAGATTTCATAAAACAGTTGCCCCAGAATGTATAAAGACAACTTACCTTTATAAAGAACAGAACACATATGTATGGATGCACAAATGTATAGAGTTCAATGTGTATGCATGCGAATGCATAAAGTTCTGGATTATCGACCTTTATAATTTCTTATCAAAAGAATATGACAATGTCCAGCACGGGACAGCAATTAGTTAAGAAATACTGAAATAGTACCAAAATTTGATATGGACTTACTTGCATGAAAGACTTCAGTAATGGTGCTGCCACCCCCAGACCTGAGCTGTCATCCAAATTTATCTTCCGAGAAAGTTCTCCATTTGTAAGAGAGTTCCACGAACTTCTTGAAGAGATTTCATTTGAGGATGGAGTAAAGGACTTCTTAGTCCCTCTAGAGGACAATGCTGGAGCACTGGATTTAACAAGATGGAAGTTTGTGAATAAGAAATGACATTTTAAGAGTATTAATTATTAGTTTCAGAACACTAATCGGTTTGTTGGCAAAACTTACATGAAAATAGCCATCGAATAAACCATTGGATTTAAGTTAATTTAAATTAAATACATGCAATGGTGGTAAGAGAGAGAAGCACAGGGCTGTGCATTATGGAATTATGGATAAAGCATAAATACGATACAAGATCAGACTGACCTGATGGGGAGGTATTTAAACCGGGGAACTGTAGAACACCTCAGAATATTGGATTCCGAATTAGTAGGCAGTTTCTGAACAGTATCTGTGTACATCCGGTTAAGTTGCACAAAGAAACCAAAAAGGACAGCATGTCGTAGGTACGACTGCCTCTCATTCTCCCAGAGATATGGCTCGTACCTTCAACATATTAATTTATATAAGAAATCATTACCAGATCAACCGAGAGAAGTCTTGAAATGGCAGTACATAAATCACTAGAAGGACAAACTACAACCATGGATTTTGAAAAAATTCTGGGCCGAAGTATGTTATATGGATATGTTCTGCATGTGCATGCATTAAATTACAGTTCTTGCTTGAAATGAAACACAGCATCTTTGAAATTCACAATCAGTGCACATCCTTGAGGCCTCATTTCTTTGATTAATGCCCTATGGAAGTTCTGTGATTTAGAGAGCACTTTTCCTTTTCTTCTAATTTTACCTAATCAAGATATTTACTTGCAGGTGCAATTATTACATAAGCCATTTGTTGATGGATTACACTCCCTATGTTTCTTCCAAAGTACTATTATTATATCTAAGAAACAAAGAAAAACCTTGAATGGAAGAATGAGAAACTTACGTAAGCCAGTCTATGGGATCCAGCCTCTGAGAAAAACGATTTAACAACTGATCTGAACGTTCTCTAATGGCTGACGTCAAACTTCGGTCCTGCTTCCTTCTGACATGTAACTTTGCCTTTGGGTTACTAGATAATTCCCCAACCACATTTGAATCACCACCAGAGAGAACATCGGTGGCAAATTTGACATCTAACAAAACCTGCAAAACTCCTTTTTCTGACACTTTATGAGCACTGCCCTCTTCAGTGGAAAGGAAGTCCTCAAAGATTCCAATTACCTGTATAATAAAATACAGTCATTTTAGATATCAATGTACAAGCAGGCAAGCACAGTCATTTACACGGTAATACATGGTAACTTGACAAGCCACATCCTAGAAAATTGTTCTAGAATATTGAGCATTTCAGGATGGAAAGGCAGCTAGGCCAAATGACACATCATTGACCATTGTTTAATATATCTTCACAATGAGGCGGTGACAATTTGATTGAGCAATATTTTGTTGGTACTCATTTTCATAGTATACCTACATAATTGGTACAATTAAAAGGATTTAGCATATCAAAGGTGTCTAAATACTCTTTAAAACTGAATCTTTCTATTTTTCATTTCTCTTTGGGTATTGGGCCAATCACCAATAATCCAATCATTCTAGTGTTTCAATAACTTGATTAGAGTGGGGTGGGCTTGGGGATAGTATGATTGTTTCTGTTTCCCTGATATCCTTAGTGCCATGGGTAACAACTCCATGTAACTATGAATTTTGATAATGAATTAATTCAGTGCGAATCCAAGAATACCAACTACCACTCTACTAGGGATTTAACAAAGACTAAAGACACTCAGATAAGATATCAATTTTCTGTGACAATACCTCAGAAATCAGCAAAGGTCAAAAGACAATAGTCATGTAAGCAGAAGGATAAATTTCAGAGAGATTGGGTAGCCTTACAGCATTCTTAGTTCACATATCGTTGTTTTGTATTTTTTGTATTCTATAATTTTGAAGATATAATATATTATCCTCATCATCATATACTCCTTTAATCTTCAGTGAAATTTCATTTTCTATAAACAAAAAAATATGTAACCAAAAGGAAAGATGGAAAAAAAGTGTCACTTTGGTGCACTCAAAGATCAAGTGAGTCAGTGACTAACACATCCACAGAAAACCTACCTTTTCCAATAGCCTTGATGCAAGTTTATGCAAAATCTTCTTGTCAAGTACATGACCTCCAACTCGATGAACTTCTTCACAAGCTCTAAATAGAAATGAGATGATATACAGAGAAGGCATAGATGGAAGCGATATTTTCATCTCAGATTGGTTCTCATCAGACTGATCTTGCTTGACTATGATATCCTCCCAGCCCTGTTCAAACAAAAAAATTATGAGCAAGCTTCTGGATTAAAGGCCATAAATTCTTGGTTGGCATATCACCAACAAAGTTCCCACTAAGAGAAATAATAATGATAATATCTAACTAAGACAGCAATACTTGAGAGGTTGATTACATCTATTACACCTTATAAAGGCAAACAAAAGATAAGCTGGTTCCATAGTTAAGGGCCACGAGATTTCCATAGTAATGAAACGTCGAAACGACAGAAAACTTGGCAAACTGGATACAACTGATTCATCAAAATTGAGGTGAAAAAACCTCACCATCACAGACTTGTCAACCCATTCCTGGCAGGACTAAGCCAATGGTAGTGGAAAACACAAAAAACAGTCAATTTTCAAGAATATGGATCTTGAAGTAAACTAATTGAAGATAATCTCATATAAATAAGGCAATTATTCTCAACTAATTTCAAACAAAATTCACAATGCTGGCCTGAAATATTTGGATGAGACTCGCTCAATTTTTTGTTATCATCCTCAGGCTTGATCTTATGCTAACATATGGTCTCTTTTGCAAGACTTTTGGGCAATTTGCTCCACAAAAACAGCACATTTATGGATTGTGGTATAGTGCTTCCTACGGGATGTTAGCTCCAAGCCTCCAATAACTTTGTGAGACTGGTACGAATTGTTTATTTGTTGTTTCTTGATATGTCATTGAAAATTTAAGATCCTTTCAAGTTTTCAAATTTTCACAAGATCCATAGAACAAATCACATTTCCAATATCTGCTAACATTTCTGTTTCAATAGAACATTTATCAGATCAGACTATGATCACATGGTATACAGTGCTATAATTGTTCAAACGGGAGTCAAGAAAAAGTTGAGTTTTGACCCACTGTCTGTTAAGGGGCTTTCCCTTCTACTGATATACAAATAGACAGGAGCTTAAATTTATTGATCTCTAGTATTTTCTGTTTTAATTTTACTAAAGAATAGCTTATCCTCTTTACCATGCTTTCCTGCTTTGTTTTTTTCTCATCTAACAAACTTCTTTTTATTGAAAAAGATCTTCAAAAGGAAAAAACAAGTATAAAGGTTCTCCAAAAATTAAAGGCTGAGCAGTGGAAGACTAATAAGATATAACCATAAGAAAAAACAAGTTTAAGCCATCACAAACATGGAAAAACAATGAAAACGAACAGGGGAAAAAAAAGGCAAAAGTCACTTACCCTCCAAGGTGTGCTTAAAGATAAGGCATCATCTTGTTTAAGATCCATAGAGACAATTGCCGAAAGTTCATCCGACAGCCATAATATCCACAAGTTGTAAGCTCTAATGCAAAGATCCCCTATAGTCCTATTCAGTTCTTCCAATTCATGGCTTGAACCTTCTCTCACTCCAAGCAAAGCAGACGCGGCGGACGAATTTTGTCTTTTAGAGCCAAGGCTTGTCTGTCTTCCCGGACTATCACAGACAGCAGAATCAGATCCAAACTGAGATTGTTTCACCAGAGATGGTAATTTCCCAACAGCCGATGCATTTCCATTGGCCCAAAATCTGGGAGAACCAAGTATCAAGGGTATATGTTTAGAATGGTTTTGGAATGCAAACAATAATCGTCCAATGAAAAGAGATTTTTCAACAGAGACAGTTGTTGGCACCTCCTTCTCACCATTTTCCATCGAGCCATATAAAGAATCAAGCTCTTTTTTAAGTGCCATCAATATAGCAGACACACTTTCGTAACATTTACTTTGCAGATATGGTGCCAGAACCTTCAATCTTTTAGAGGCCTTTGGAGATTCTAAGAAACTTAAAAGATCCTCAAGGATGCTCTGACAAGAAACATCAACTGCATCCCTAATTCGACTTACTTCAGGGCCAAAATAGGCATTAAGACAAGTCTGAAATTCGTTCTCTTCAGGCTGTACTTTAAACCCAGAAGCAACTCCAGTTTTTCTGGCATTGGATTCTAGAAACCAAACACCACCAGCCATAGAATGTCTGTTCAAGTACCCCTGAACATCATTCTGCTTGGCAAAAGAGTCACCTACAGAAGAAATTGAGCTCACCACATCAACAGCTCCAGTTAGCTCCCTAAATCTCAAGTCAATGATTGCTTTCATCCTGGCAAGAAAAGCATCTTCAAATATCTCATCCCAAAGATCTGAATCATCTTCCAAAACGAGTTCCCGAATCCTACTCCAAGGCAATTCAATCTCAGATCCAAAAACACTCTTGAGCCATTCTAGACTCCCTTCCAGAACTTGTTTACTTTCCATTGTCTCCCTTATTGATTTCTCAGCAGAAGCAAGATCCTGGCCACTGGCAATGCCGTCAATCAAATTTCTTCCACTTATCTTGTTTACGCATTCCCTTAACCACGTAAAACAAGTATCAGCAATGTAACGTTTATCAAGCATTACCATGATTGACTCCAGTCCATCTCTAAATGACTTCCAAAGCCTAACTTCCTCATCGGGACTGGGAATCCCACCAAACAATTGGGATGCCGGAGGAGATCCCAGAATGACTTTATAGAAAAGAGGCATATCATTCAACACATGCAAAAACAACTCACCCACCTGACCCACACTGACCTGAATTATACCCAACACATCACACAAGACCGAAACCACCAAAGAGGAAGCATCACCAGCACCAGCATTACCCAAAACTTGTGATATCCATGACTTCCTTGATTCCAGAAACAAGCCCAACACCTGTTTTTCATCATCAAATCAGTTTAAACCCGCCAAATGAAGAATTAAGCAACTAACCACATCTCAAATCGCATAAATCTACAAACTATAAGCAATGACACACTCCCTTACACTCAATCTCCAACCCAATACTGAATACACACACAAAACAACTCTCCACCAATCGGTTTTTCATCAATAAATCAGTTTAAACACATCAAACTAAGAACTAAGCACCTAACCACATCTTAAATTACATAAATCCACACAATCAAAGCGATTACACATTCACTCTCACTCTCACGCCCAATCCCAAACCCAAATTCTCAATTCACACTTAAAAAAACCAATTACCTGCTTTGGCTCGAGCTCGTCTATAACAGCCACCGCAGCCAAGGCATCGGAGTAAGCAGCAATGGCAAGGCCACGATCCAGCAAGCGATCGCGGCTTCGCTGGGAGATCTGTGCCCTGAAGCTCTCGACAATCTGCCACTGGTGCTGAAGCAACGGGAAATTCGACAAGATCTTGTTCTTCTGGTCATCGGAATCGAGGAACAAGCGGTGATGTGCGTGCTTGGCACGCACGTAGCGCGATGCGGCCTCGAGGAACATTCCTTCGTCGAGGCAGCCCCAGATGTTCTCCGGCGTGTCCACGAGGTACTTCACGCGGCACGCCACACCGTAGGTCCAGGCTCGGGACTGGGAATGGAGTTTGGTTTGTGAATGTGATTGAGAGAGGGAGAGGGAGCGAATGCGGCCGTGGACGGCGGCGATGTTGGCGGAGATGGATTTACAGGAAGCCTTCATGTGGACGATGGAGTCGGCGGAGTCGATCAGGTCGCGGTAGCGGTTGCCGACAAGCTGCCGGAGCTCCTCCTTCTTGTCCTCGATCTGCTTCCGTGTTGCGGCCTCGGTGTTTCGGATCTCAGCGATGGGCTTGGAGCGGAAGAGGGACTCGGCGTCGCGGTAGCCTACGGTGGAAATTCGGTGGTCGTCGGCGTGTGGCGTCGACGCCGCGACGGGGGATGATACTCTCATGGTTGGTGGCGGTGGTGTTTGGGGTTTATTAAATAGACATTGATGGCTCCGGCGAAGAGTGATGGCGGAGGATGGTGGAGGAAGAAGAGTGGAAAATTAGAGGAAGGGTTACTTGGCAAAGGGAGAAAATAAGGGGATCAAGTTCCTTCAAGGACGAAAATGCAAACGGCGTCGTTTTCCTCAAAGGAGAAATAGTTGAAGACTTTTTGGTCAGATTTGAGTTGAATTAATTTAGACATTACATTGTATTGTATATGTTTGGGTATAAATAAGCTAGGTTATGTTTGATTTTGACTTAAATAGATCAAGTTTATGAAAAAAATACTGGGTCCTGGCTTGTAAAAAACATTTAACTAAAATATTAGATCAATATGTTGATCCAACAGTTATATTTATTTTCATCTTTGTATGATTATGATTCCTCATATTTAATACTTTATATTTATTTCTACCTTTGTATGGTTATGATTTTCCATATTTAATGTGAAAACTCCGATCAAGGAACCTACAAAACCCTTCAAATTGTATCTGATTCAACTCGGGTAGTGTGGACATTTCCAATTTCCACTCCTGAGCATTTTCAATTTCTCCATTTATTATATAGAAAATATATCACAATTTGCTATTATTCTTCATCGAATCACATGACATTAAATATAAAAAATTATAATCATACAAAGATGGAAATAAATATAATTGTTGGATCCATATAATCGATCTAACGGTGAAATTGATTGGTAGTAATATTGGTAGTAACACTATTTTATTATTCAAATTTATTAAAATAATAATTTTATTTATTCTATTTAAAATAAATAGTATGATATAGGCCAGCATATAGGTTTATAGGCTCGATATGTGCAAAAAAGTCTATGACTTATTTTTTAAATACATTTTTTTAAAAGTCTAGGCATATTTTATTTTACTATTTGTAACAGGGTATGTCTCGCCTAGTATAGGCTAAATCGTAGGTCCCTGTAGACCGGCCTAATCCATTTACACCTCTATGTATATGTAGAATTTATTGAAAATAAATTAAATTACAGTTTGTTTTTCTTGTTTACTTCTTTAGATTGTATGTTCCTTTTGGCGGTTAAATAGACTGTAGAGATAATAAGATAAAGGAAAAATTCATAAACTTTCTTATTGTTTAGTCTTTTATCACTTGTACTTTTATATATATTTTTTTATCAATTTTCCCCATGTGATTTTTTCCATCTAAATCACTTTTAACAATGTTAGTAATTGTATTAACTTGCTCATTTTATCCTATTTTATTTGTATAAAAAATTATTAATTAATCTATAATAAAAATTTAGGTCACCCACAACTATTTAGATTGCAGAATGTGATATAATAATATCTAGGGAAAAGTTCACTAATACTCCTGTGATTTGCTCTAGAATCATTTATGTCTCTGTGAATTTTTTATATCACATATACCTACGTGGTTTGTAAAAGGGTATATTATTTAAATCATATGCCCTTGTGATTTTTTCCTCTTTACAAATCTCAGAGATATATGCTATATAAAAAAAATCACAGAAACATAAGTGATTCTGAAACAAACCACAAGAGTATTGGTGAAGTTTTCTTAATATCTATTATCTTTTAAGAGGTAATCTCGCTGTACCGGGTTAGATTCTAAACCACAGTTTTGTCTTTTTATTTAACTTATTTTACCGATTGAAATAGCATTGTCATTTATGGGGAAGTTATAACTTATTAAACCAATATACTCAGTATTTGCGACACTTATAATGATAGAAATTTGATATAATGCCTTTAGAAAATGATTGGTACAAGTAAACCCATCGATTCAAATGTAGTAATCCTATAAGGATATGTATGAAGATGACTCTAGTGAAGTATTTGTTAGCAAAAAAAGTTAACAGAAGTATTTTTTGACAAAAACCAAGAACAAAAACAAAAGGTAAAAAGTTATAATTGATGATAATAGGATTATGTATTTGTTTTATCTTTTTGGGATACTGTTGGATGATAATTAAATTCCCCTTGTCTCAGGAATGATCCTTAAGGTCTGTTTGGTAAAAGGATATGAGAATCCTAATTATCCACATTTGGTATAAAAAAATTTAAAATTTTCAAAGAAAAATAAGATCCCTAAGAATTAAAATTGTGAACAAGATTCTTATGAAATAATATCACTAGGTGAGTGACATTCTTGGATTTCCACCTGTGAAATTTTTTTTTACATAATTTATAGGACATAAAGAATTCTACTTTAAGATTTTCACGACTAAAATACTTTCTCTTGTTAAAATTTTAGTTATTTAGTCGTGATACTCATGCTTCATAAAATCGTGAGTTCATTTCTTCTCTTTTCCGATGTCTTTATTGAATTCCTCTCTAATATCCAATGCCGCATTTTAACCCTTTTGTGGTATATCAAAAAAGGAATTCAGAAATTTATCAAAGGTTAGCTTTGTAAAATCAGCTCACATTCTCATGAATCATTGATAAATAACCAAACATAGAAACAGAAAACTTGAGCCAACATTCCTGGAAATATTTTATCGTACCGAATAGTTTTTTTTTTGTAACATTCCTACGAAATGCACTTTTCCAACATATTTTCATGAACAAATTTTTTTTCCCTCTACCTTACAATGCTAAACCCCTTGAAGGACTTAAAATTGTTGATGTAGGTTGTGGAGGTGGAATTCTTTCTAAGGTATATCTTTTCTTCTTTTTCTTGTGATGACTGGAAAAGACCCTTTTTCTTTGGGTAACTTGGGCAGTAAAACGAGTAAAATATAGATAAAATGAGTAAGTTAGTACAAGTACTAATAGCGATAAAGGTGAATTTAAATGAAAAAAAATCACAAAAAAAAAATTTATAAGAAAAAAAGCATGAAATTATAAGTGATAAAAGACTAAACCATAAAGGGGTTTATGAACTTTTTTTCCCTTACAAAATTGGGACATTGACCAAACTGTCACCCCTTTAATAAAAATTTATCAGATTGCCACACCAGGAAAAAAATTTGTCAAAATGTCACGTCACAATTTCGCTGGTCTGACAAGCGAGAATAGACTGGACACGTGTCAGCATATGAATGGTCAACCATCCTCGCTGGGCTGCCCAGCTAGAATGACAGAATGCTGACACGTGGTAAAAGTACAGACATCTAGAGAATGCATGTACTTTTGCCACGTGTCAGCATTCTGTCATTCTAGCTAGGCAGCCCAGCAAAAATAGTTGACTATTCAGATGCTGACACGTGTCCAGTCCATTCTCGCTTGTCAGACCAACGAGATTGTGATGTGACATTTTGGCAAAAAAAATTTAAGACGTGGCAATCTGGTAAATTTTTGGCTAAAAGGTGGCAACATGGTCATTGTCCCTATAAAATTTTCACAACAGTCAAGTAATTCAAAATTAAAAAAATAGATTTATTTATGAAAGTGCCATTCATAAATACTTATATTTATAAAATTGTCATCGCAATTTTTTTTTTTAAATATCTCTACATTATTCTTCATTTTTTAATTTTTAAAATTTAAAAAAGTATTTTTAGAATTCATATTGTGCAATAATCCTTTCCAAACAAAATTTTTATTTCTTTTATTATAAAAGGAAATTTTTTTGTCTTTTTAAAAAACAGTTATTTTAGTTAAATTACTATTTTTTATTTAATGTTTAAATGAAAAAATTCTCTCAACTTCTATCATCATGATTTTTTTGTTTCTCTCGTCATAAAATATAATAGTTTTGATTAAAATGATATAATTTCATATTTTTAAAATGATACACACTAATTATATTTTAAAAATAAAAAAATAAAAATTTAATACATAAAGAAACTATTTTTAAGAATATAAGTTTTATCTGCTTCATTCTCTATGCGGTATTTAATAAAGAGAAGTGTTCAAATATTAAGTGAATAAAATTTTATTTTGATCCCTGATTTAATTTGTTGCAACTTAATTTTAATCGATTTAACCTCTCAAATTTAAACTAATAATATTTTAATTTTTCAATGAAATCCATTACACATATTATTTATCTTCCTTATTTTAATAGAGTAATTAAAATAATTGAAATTTAAACTGGCAAATATCAAATTGATAAAATTAACATGTTAAACCCAAACCGATCCGACATAGACCGAGTTGGGTACCTGGTCAATTCGGGTTGGAACGGGTCCCTATTCAACTCGATACAGCAGCGTTGCGACACCGTTTCCACCCATTTCTTTCTACCATTTTTTTTCTTATATGCGAATAAAAGTACTAGCTTCGAGCTATTTCTCTCTGCATTTTACCTTCTCTTACTGTCTCTGCAATATTTTTGCATTTTTAATTTTTATTGTATAAATATAAGGAAAAATGATTGTTTTTTAAAGGAAAGTCATTTTAGTTTAAATTAGTATTTTTATTTAATATTTAAATTTTAAAAAAAATCACTTTCTCTCACCGTAATTTTTGTTTCTCTTATTATAGTTTTGACTAAAAACATAAGTTTATGTCTTTTAAAATAATAAACACTAATCCCATAAATATATATTATGTTTGGAGAGAATTATATTTACAAACTTTTACAAACTACATTATGTACTTTCGGAAGTACACTAACTTACACTATGTACTTTTGGAGTACACAGTGTAATTTACAAAAATCTGTAAAAAAAAAAAAATTGTAAACGGATCATTCCTTATTGTATTTATGCCCTTCTTTAAAAAAAATAAAAATAAAATTCCCATGTATTTTCTAGTTAATTTTGAATTATTGACAGCCAAGAGTTATGCCCCGTGATTGTGTTGCTTAGTGCTGACTTGCTAGATGTAAGCAAGGAAGCACCAACACGATATTTTGTGCGAAAAATGTGTGTCGGACACTGATATATTATGACAATTTTGATACATGTTTGATATGTAGTCAATATTTTCCAACACATGGTCAATGCTCCAACACATTCCGACACGCGGTCAATGTTCATGCAGATCCAAATTTTATTTTATCGTTTTAACTAAGCATGAAAAAGTAATTTATAAATCAAATATTTTCTGTTATGGAATGTTGTAAATAGTAATTATGTAGTCATTTA